TTTATGATGATTAGTAAAGTATTTGGCAAAATATAACAATAACGGCTAAGTGCCCAATTTATGAGCAACATGCTAGAAATTCATGCTATTCTCCAATTTATCCATAACAAATCACAAACAAATCGTACTAGACAGCCCCTCTACGGCCCCTTGATAAAATCTTTGCAGTAATTTTTGTCCTATAAGCCTTGACATCATCAATAGTATCATCAATTTCACCACAATAGCATCATCTAATAACAGGTTCATCACTGTTTCAGACGTTATGTATATCAATTCATTGTTCCATACAATAGCCCTACAATTCACAATCTGTTAGAGTGTTATAAATTTTCGAAAACTATATATATATAACACATGCTAGCACATGTCGTATATTGAAATTCGCAAGAAAATTGCATGTTCTCTTGGTACAATAGAACATCGTACAACTTTCACTTCGAGAATAAGCAACAATGGTCTGTTTATCTCCTATTTCATGATGATCAACCAGTAGTTACACAAGATGCTAATCGAAACAAACATATTATATATACCTAGTCATGTAATTTTATTTATAGAATACTTTCAACTAGAACGAAGGTATATGCAGAAAGAATAGACATACTTTAGTGAACAGAAATAATGAATTTTACAGAATAATGAAAGCACACACAAAGAAGAACAAAGTTACGTACAAATATTTCACTAACCTTGATTGTTTGTTTATCCTTCTTACTCTTTTCTTTTCCCCGTCTTTCTGCTCCCCCTCACATTTCAATCACTTTACTACAAATATAAACCTACAAAAATACAAATTAAGACACTTTTATAGACAGTAATAATTTCAAATACATCAAAATAACTCATAATTGATCCGATGATGCGATACATTGCAAAGTGAAATGATCCGATACCAAGGCTTGTACAAATTCAGACGAGACACAAATAAAATAAATTCGAGCAAATCACAAACTCAAAAAATCGATTCTACAAAAAAAAAAAGCTTTAACTTACTTTTTCAAATGTTACTTTAGGGATAGGCCTTTTTCGATATTTCGAGCGGGAGGCTTTCGGAGACGTTGAAGCTTTCTTCGAGGAGGCTCGACAGCGATTATTTTATCAAGTGCTTTGGCAGCGAGAGGCAGAGTGGGAAGGAAAGTATTTTGAAGAAATAAACTTATAAACAACGTGGGATAGTGGGTTTTATTAGGATTTTATTTTATTTTTACGTTTAAATTTATGCAACTATTTTCATTATATAAATAAAAATTTCAGATATATTTCTCTAGAATATATTTTTTACAATAGGATAATCTTGAGGTATATAATTAAATAACTTAAATTTATATAAAATAACAAAAGTATATACACTACAAAAAAAATAATATATTTGTAACAGAATTCCGTCCATAAAGTTCACGTAGCTAACGTAATTCCATTCCTAATTCCGTCTCTAATATCATTAGTAACGGAAAAAATAAATTTAGAGACAAAAAAATTTTGTTGCAAAAATGATTTTTTCTTGTAGTGATATAAGATTCGCTATATTATATTGTAATTTCAAGTGTAAAATTAATAATGGAGAGTAAAATGTAAATTAGAATTAAAAAAAAAAAAAAAAAAAGTAGGAACTAAAGTTTTTGTAAAAAGAGATTAAATTTAAATATATTTTAGCTCAAAAATATTTAAACTCAAGTGCACATTAAAAAAATTATATTCATGATTAAATATTTATTAATCAATCTCTGTGTCCTATCATTATCTCTTCAATCATTGATTTTATTATTAGATATTGTGTATATATATATATATATATATGCGTGTGACCGGATATTAATGATGATGTCCAATCATCAGTCTTACGTACAGTTTTCTTTTAATAATAATATTATTATTAATATCGAAGCTTAAATGTGATTTGATTGATACATTACAATTTTTTGGTTGACTTTCGAAAATTTGATATTTAAATAATATAAATAAAATATTTTATAACAGAAAAAATATATATCTTCTATTTTTAAAAAAATTGTAAGGTTTTAATAGTAAAATTTGAAGAAATTTAACAAAAGAAATACACTCTATATGTTTCATCTCGGCAACTGCCTATTGTATCTAATTTACAGTAAATATGAGAATTTATGAGATATACTTAGGGTGTGTTCGTTTGAAGAATTTTACCAAAATTCTACTATTCATCTAAAATTTTTTCTCCAAAAACATCAAATCAAACATCTATTTTTTATTTTTTATATTATACTAAAAATTAATTTTACATTCAAAACATCACATAAACGCCTATTTATATCACATCATACAACTATTCAAATTCAAAATTTTTACTATTCAAATCCCAACTCAAAATCCAAACCCTCAAACAAACACACCCTTAGTAAATAATTAAAAATATATTAATAAAAATAATTATTAATATAATATAAATAATTATAAATTGAAATGAAAATAACTAATTATTCTAATTAAAATTATAGATTAAAAAATACAAAATGAATTAAAATGTGTAATATTTCTTTTAAAAAAAAAATTGACAAAAAATGGGCCGGACCAAAGGCAATGTGAACACATTAAGAGAAATGAAGAAAGTATAATATTAGGATATACCGACATTAGACTTAGCATTTAATGAATTATAAAGTGAACGACAATCAACTATAAATACATACATTTTAATCCCAATATATATATATATATATATTATAAAATTAAAATTCAATTGGTTGTCCATTTTAAATGGATTTTTTATTTAATTTAGCTGTAATTTGATAAAATCTTACAAATTCGATAGAAAATAATTGAATTTATGTTAAAAAATTTGATTTAATTATGTCTACACATCAATACAAACTCGATGCGATAATAAACGGTCCTATTATAATACTTCATTCGTCCGCCTCTAATTGTCACATTTCTCTTTTGCGTCATTGTACTTAACATTAAAAATATTCATATATTTAGATAATTTTATATATATATATACAAATGTGCTTCTATTAGTATTATAAGACACCAATTAAAGTATTTTTGCAATTTTTTCTTAATTTATATTACGTTTTGTTATAATAATTAATATTCAAATATCAACACACAAAAAGTAAATGAGATCGTTAGAGCCAACGTAGTATATTAATATTAATCAATTTATTTACTACATATCTAAAACTGAAAAAAATATACATTAAATATTTACATACCAACCTAATTCACTATAAAAATTATATGAGAACCGACAAAAACTAACAAGACACAACAATTCGATACAAATCCGACATGAGAAAATGATTTTAGTTAAAGTTTTTATTCAATTATGTATATATGTCAACACAAATCCGATACGATAATAAACAGGTTCGGCTAAAGTTCAGTTATTTCACTCATTTGAAATATTCAATTCGATACGAATCAATTCATTACCATATCCAAATTTGATGTTATATTGTGTCAAATAAACATATATATATATATATGCATTTATAAATTATGATGATTATATGATTTTAAAGATTAAAAGTAATCAAATTATAAAAGAATACTGTCACATGACATGCATATTTGTTTAATCATATGATTCTCATCGATTTATTTCATTCATATATAAAAATAATAGTGTTGTGATTGTGATGTTGTCCATTAATATTGGTTGATTGAATTAATGACGTTACGTTGTACTCCCTCCATCCAACGTTACCGTGTCTGCTACACTGTAGACACGGTATTTTAGGAGGGGTGTAATTAGTAGATAATTAATAATATATTAATGAAAATAATTATCTTAAAATATAAATAATTATAAATTAAGATTAAGATAACTAATTAGTTTAATTAAAATTAAAAAAATTTAAAATGAGATTAAAGTATGTAATTATTTTTCAAAAAGAAAAGTGACATGGAATGTGGAACAGATAGAAACGGCAAAGTGTACATAATATATAAGACGGAGAGAAAATATGATCTATTTATTTATTTAGGTGGGCGTTGGAAAAAAAATAGCATTATTGGATTCGCGTATCGAACGTCGGCCATTTCCAGGCACCAAACCAATTATTATATATGAACGCTCGGTCACCCCAACCCCAACCCCACTCTATTTATTCACACACACACATATATATATATATATATATATTATCTTGGAATGGATGCATGTGTATATATATTGTAAAAATTTGCGGCCGCTATTTTTTGAACACGTACAAGATCAAATGGGTGTTCGCTGATTTTAAACTTGTTGGTTAACTTCGGTAAATAAATAAATGATGTGTGTTCCTACTAGTAACTTACCTTTTTAGGTGAGACGGTTATTTATATTATCTAATATTGTATTAGAGTAAAAAAATAAAATAAAATCTATGTTCGAGTCTCACCGTCTCCATTCTGTCGTATTTCCTATAAATATAATAGGTTTGTTAACTCAATATTTTTTCGTATTTCCTATAAATATTATATAAAATATAATATATACTCATATTAACACAATATATACTTTATTTATCACAAAAAGTCAATGATTCTAACAAAAAATATTACTCATTTATTTCTATCTCTCTTCAATAAACAAATATTTTTATCTATATTTAAAACTCCTTATATTTTATAAAATTAGTTTTAAATTAATTATAAATAAATTCTCTATATAATGATTCATATTGTATATATTTTATTGAGATATAATGTTAAAAATATTTAAAATACCAACATCACTGCTTATATAAAAAATAATAAAATAATATAATAATTTATTATTAACAATTTACTAATCTACCTTCCGTCACTGATTAAATGGGTCATCTGACAGAAAAAGTATTTTTTATATTATCGACACGATTCTCATACGTAATATCTAAAACAAATATATCCAAAACACTAAGTGAACAAATCCGATTATGATTCAATATATTTTAGTCGATTTTAATTTTATTTTGGTTGAATACATAAGAGAAAATGCAGATTAATAAATTGAATATGAAAAACCACACACACAAACATTTTTTCTCACTACAAACAAACATATATTTTCACTTATGTTGTCTCTAACACAAACTGAATATGAAAAACAAATCGTTTTCTATTACCACAAACAAACACATTTTATTCTGCAACACTTACTACATATTTCCATTTTGGTGTCGACCCCGAGTCCCAACACTTACTACTAAATAACAAAAAGGCTACAGGCAACCTTGACATACTCAAACTACAGCCAAGGCCGTAAACCAATCCATCAAAGTACAAAATACTCGGCAAGAAACAACACAAAAGAATAACAAATGAATCAAAGCAAACATAGACAAACATCAATTCCGGCAGACGTCCTCCAACAGTACTCCCCCTCAATTCCAGCTTCCCCTTTCCGACATGCTGGTCGAACCCTGACTAGCAGCATAGGCTAAAAAGGTAGCTTTATGGGATGGCTTCCTCATCATCCTCGACAACCTCAATGGGATCAGCTGAAACAATTAGAGCATGAAGCAGATGACTTAATGTTCTTCCTATCTTTCTTTTCTACACAATCATTTGGGTAGACATGATTGTTAATTTGCTCGTGCAAGACCTCTATAAGCATTTCACGGCACAAACGAACTTGTGCAGCAGGATCAAGGGGCTCCGCTTCATAGAAAATAGAAAATGTTGTATATAGCCTCTACAAGTTAGATTGAACTAGGAAAGATCAACAGCCGACTCTTAATAGGAGCAAGGCAAACAATTGATCAAGACACATAACTAAAAAATGGCTCATATTTTTAAATATTGAGCAGAGTTGGAGCTGAGGAAAAAAATTGAGCATCTTCTTCATGACAACACAGCCAAAATTGAAATTTTTCAAATATTATCAATTAAAAAAAGTTACCAAAATTTGTTACAGTAAAAAACACATTCAATGCACATAAATAGTATAGACATTGGAATTTCATGGATAGGGCTGATGTTTTCATCGGCATACACGCCCAAAAGTTGTAGCTTTATCTGTAGTAACAAAGCGAGCAATCTCATTAGTATGCTCGTAAAGGTAATGGGATAGCATGTGTTCCTTGTCTTCGGGTGGAAGTTGTAACAACTGGTTGATCATGGTTGGACTCAATTTCAACCACTTTCCTTGTACGTACACTTTATGATATCAAGGGGAAGTAGGTCTAGCAACTTTCTATACAAATTGACGTAAAATTCCCTTATAAGTTTAGGACAATAATGCTGTAAATCGATAGCCCAAAACAATAAATATTTTTCTTCAATATATGCAATAAATCCTCCATATGCAATAATAATAATAATTTCAACTTCCGAGACATTCAAACCTTATCTGCCACACATAATTTACCTAATATAACTTGTCTTATCGGGTCTAATTTGCACACTGTTAGGTTCAATCAAGGGTTTATCCAAAATACATTCGAATAATAGTGGTTGCAAATTCATGCGTCATAAAAAAATAAAAAAATAAAAAATTAAATCTTGCTCATCTTTTGTGTACTTCGGAGATTTTTTTGAAAATTTTGTTTTAGCTTCAAATCAAAATTATTTTACAAGTTTTAATATATTTTTTTTTATTAGAACACTATTTAAATTAAAATTCAAATCAAAACCAAAAAAAATCTTTGATTTTGATTTTTTATTCAAATAATAGATTGAATAAGATAGTTTATATATAAATATATATATATGATTGATAATTAAACTACTTATATTAATAATATGGAGTTTTTTTTTTCAAAAGCTCAATTATAAAAAATAATAAAATTAAGTATGCTTGCTCAGCAACAAATAGCATTCGTTCTTCCAACTATTTTTTTTCAATACGATTTCCAATATATATAATATTCTTATATTTTATATATCACAAAAAATAATATTCAATATAAGATATTGTTTTTTATATTATTTACATAATTCTCTATACTTTAGATAAAATACATACATATATATATATATGCCTCAAACTAAACACTAAACAAACAAACCTCAACTTAAGCTCATTCAAGCGGCTAATGATTAGTTCTACTTAAAATAAATAAATAAATTTTAAAAAAAGTTTATTATTCTAACAATTGTGATGTTTTTGGTAGAAAATTACAGCTTTGGAATGAAATGTGATTGGGATAAAGTATAACTTAATATCCTCAAGTCTTTTCAACACAAAGGTAATGTTTCATATAATTCAGCAGATTTCTTATGTAGTTCAATATATTTTCTACAAATTCAATAGATTCCTTCTATAGTTTAACAAATTTACTATACCCTTAAACAACACAATTCTAAAATAAATACAGTAAATGATCTACCCAAACAGAGATAGTCAATAGTTTTGATGGATCATGTTGTGAAGGCTAATAGCCATCTGTTAAATTTTAGTAGATAAAAAAAAAAAAAAAAAAACAATACTACGTTACAAAAAATCACCTCGCCATTAAATTACCATATAAAGTAAACATGATCGCATAATCTTCGCCAACCGAAGAAAATCTAGTTCGATGAGCTAACTCGACAATAACACAACATAGTTAAAAGTCAGCTTCCCAAAACAGCAAATCATGAGAAGATAAAGAGTACCTGTAATTTCCCAACATTGAGTAATGAAACAGAAGCATGTTCAATTCCCCTTTGTTCCTGATATAGTAAAATTTCGTCCATTTTCCCAAGTTCATAGTGAAAGCAGCAATCAGTTCAAGTTCATATTCACAAGAATTCTAGGATCAAAAGATGAAAGAATGTAATCAGCAGGCGCCGGTCGGGACAATATAGTTTCAGTTTATCATGGAGCAGATATTGGATCCAGGAGCTCTAATTGACAAAATTTAACGAACATATTTATTAGCTCAACAAGACCATTGAATTTCATTCAAAGAATTTAAGTACATCTTCTTCACTCTTGTCCTGCCATTGCCTTTTGTTCTATATAACAGTACTAAGTAAATCTTCTGTCGAGTTGAGAGTTTTTAAAGCAACTGCTCGAAATGAAGAGAATGCATGATTAAGTTTACATTATTCAAAAATGTTTGACATTGTTTAGCTGTCAAATTGAATGTGAATATGTCTACAATTGAAACTTGATAGAGATTTAAGAACGTTTTGTCGTATAATCTAACTGCAACTATGATCAGATTATGCACACCAATGATTCCAAGGAGCTAATGACATCGACAAACAACTCTCTAAAGTGAACTTACTTCTGAACTTTTGGTGGATGGATGCTTCCTCAATGTTCGATTCACAACTGTAGATACATCATCCTCAAGGTCACCAACCAACATGTCAGAGCTTCAATGTAGTCTCTGAGGGATGTTAGCAGATTAGTTATGGAAGGAAGTAACAATAGCATCAGCAAGAAAGTACAATCAATCCATATATATATACATATATTTCATTCATGCATCAATAACTACTAGAGCTACTGACTGCTTGGATCATAAAAATCTACCTAAAGTATAATTGCTGACCACATCATTATCGGTATATTAAGATCACTTGGCATCTATAATATTATGAAATCCACTAAAAAATGCATTCCAGATATTTCAACATAGCTGCCACACCCCCCCCACCCCCCAGTCGATTAGTTACCACCGAACACCCTATGGGTGTGCTTTTATGTGTTCTCGGACCTGTTTTTTCACTACGCAATCTATAATAAAATATTTTTCCCCATCTACATACATCACATCCAAAAACCTATTTTCCATTCATCTTATTCAAAGCCAATTTTTCATACAAAAGAATTTCAAATCCAAATAACCCCAAAACAAAACAATGCCAGACTAATACTAAGTTAAGTGTATAACCTCTGGAGGATATATGTCATATACATATTCATACATACACAGTCACATACAAAAGTAATTGTCATCCAAACTCCTAGATATTCTAACAAGCAGTGTTCATCATCAACCAAAGTGTCCTGAATCGTAATTTTACAATAATTAAACAAAAAACAATACACTGTAAACTTTGGGGAAAAACCAAAATCAACCTGCATAATTTTTCACGGTTTCTACTCTGGCTACTTCCTTGGCCAATGTCTGCAACTCTTCCCACATCCCTCTCCTCAACCCGTCCCCTTTACAAACATCAACAACTCAGCAGCCTTGAGCGAAAACAAAATAAAATAAACTAAAATCCCTAAAATTTGACGCACCTGGCGGGGAAAGAGCGGTGGAACGGTGAAGGTCATCCAACTGTGAGTGCGTATTAGTGAAGAGTGATCCGACACGATTCGAGTGGGAAGACCGTTGAGTCAATTGATGCAGGAGCTCCTCATTGAGTTTGGAAAGCGACCGATCGAGAGCACCGGACTGGATTTGCAGCTCCGAAAGTAAATTCAAGGACGAATATGCACCGGGAAATGAAGACGGAACGAAGATGAATACTCCACAGAGTGATCAAATATGAATAAAACCATTGCACAAAATATAAGAAACAAGAAACACATATTCTATTTTTTTTAGTTGCCGTGAGGTCTAATTCCTCTCATCGTCAGAGAAGGTTTTTCTTATTATTATTATTTTTTAATTTTATTTTTAAATTAAAATTTATTTAAAAGTTGTACTTTCGCTTATTTTATTTTATTTTATTATTTAATAAAAAAAAATTGTGTATTTATATATTAATTTTATATTGTACTTTAACCAAATGATATTATATATTTTTATTTATATTTTTTATAAATATTATTTAAGAATATTAAAAATATATTTTATTTAAAAATATTTATGACTTTCTCCCTCTTGCATATGGTATCCCTTTCTCGTACACAGAAATCTAGATTAATGAAAATAATTATTAATTAATAAAAAAATTGTAAATTAAATTAAAATAACTTATTAGTATAATTAAAATTAAAAATATATATATATAAATTTAAAAAAATGTATAATAAGATTAAAGTGTATAATATTTTTTTCTACAAAAAAAAGTTGACAGAATAAGTGAACAGACTAAAATAAAAATGTGAACACAGTATAAAAATATAAATTTAATTTATCAATATAATATTTAAAATATTGTCATAAATTAAATATATAAAAATAATAAAATATTTCGTGTTATTTATAAATTTAAAAAATTATAATATATAATAAAATATTTCGTGTTATTTATAAATTTTAAAAATTATAAAAGATAATATATGAAATAGAATATATATATATATATATACGGTGTGTTTGTTTGGGGTTCGGATTTTAGTTTGAGAATTTGAATAGTAAAAATTTTAAATTTGAATAATTGTATAATGCTATATAGATAGGTGTTGATGCAATATTTCAAATATAAAATCAATTTTTAATATAATATAAAAAAATAAATATTTAATTTAATGTTTTGAGAAAAATATTTTGTTGGATAGTGGATTTGTGATGAAATCGTTGAAAAGAACATACTAATAGAATATTTTTTTTACTAGTAAAAATAGACGGTATTAAAATGTACCGTAGTTACTCCAAAAATAAAATGATGATCATATAAGGTAAACTGGATAAAGTCTTAACTGTAACTTACAAATTAAGTTCATAAGATTTGGAGGCTTTTAAACCATAATCTCAATACGAAGAATTCCTTCAAGTACATCCATTTCAGACTCTACAGTTCCTCCATCTTAAAAGTATAGTCTTATTATATTGGGCACAAGATTTAAGCAATATTAATATTATATTGGCAGTGGATAAAAAGTAAGAATAAATAACTTTTTTACGTTTATGAGTATCTTAATGTAAAAAGTAGTGACAATTGTATAATAATAATGAAAACGTAGGGATAGTTTTACGGTGGTACGATTATTTATGAAAATGAAATTATTGTTTTGGGATTAACAAAAATGGTAAACAAAATTATTATATTGGGACGGAGACGGAGGGAATATTATATACTCAATTATATATATAAAAATATTATATATGTATTTTATAGTCAAAGTTTGTTATAATATTTTTAAATTATATAATATAAATAAAATTATAAAATAAAGTTTTTATATAAATCAAATTAAATTAATTTTAATTTAATAGTCAAATTAATTCAATAAAAATTTAAGGTGCATTTGTTTTGTGAGATTGTTGGATAGAAATTTTTCTTTTATGTGAGTTCCATAAAGTTCTAAAAAAAATATAAAAATAATAAATATGTGTAATGTATAGTATATTATTTTTTTTGAAAAAAACATATTAAAAAAATATATATTGAAAAAACAAAACCTTATATTTGATTAATAAAATAAATATATATTTATTCTATTTATTTAGTACCACGAATAATAGTACTTATTTTATATTTTTTTTCTAAATAATAAATTTTATGTCACAATAATTTTTTATTAAATAATTCAATTTTTTATATTAATTTATTTTTATTTATATGATATAAGAATGTAGGTGGGCGTGTTCTTTTAATAAAAAATATAAAAAAGTTTTAAAAATATTAATATATCATTCGTATTCATTATTTTTGTATTTTATATGTAATTTTTTATACCTTAATTAAAAAAAAAATTTCTTCTTCAAATTATTTTACAAAACAAACACACTTTGATGTAAATACCTGTTTAGGTTAACCTCCAAGCGCCCCAAAACATATACTCCCTCCGTCCAAGATACCATGTCCACGTTGCTGTTCGTGTCGCATACCATATTATTTTTCTTTTTTAAAAAATGATTACACACTTTCATCTCAGTTTTAATTTTTTAATTTTATTTTTTTAAATTTTAATTAAACTAATTAGTTATTTTAATTTTAATTATTTATATTATAAAATAATTATTTTCACTAATACATTCTTAATTATTTACTAATTACATTCCTCCTACAGTGTAGATATTTTGCAATGTGAAATATGTGATTGGAGGCAACCTACGTCAAATCCGCCAACGGAGAGCGCCATTGATTATTTTATATGCACTTTAATTGTAAAAATAATTCAAAAACTCGTAATTTCTTAAAAACTAAAATTAGAAAGAAATCTAAAACAGTTTTTAAATTTTCATAAACTACAAGTAAATTTAATGCTGCTATCGATGCCCATAAACATTTGGAAAGCCTCTCATAAGACTCTTAATGATAAACAGTATAACACAACAAAGAAACAACCGTTACCTTCAAAACCAAACCAAGCCAGCAATCGACAATGGCATCCTCAACCTCAAGACATCCTCGTACCCTCCTCCTACTACTTCTGTCCCTTCTTTTTCCACAACTCTCCCAGCATTCGGATTCCCGTCCGCCGCTTCTCGCTTCCGAACCCGTAATCTCCGTCATCGTTCAGTCCCGGAGACCCCACGACGCATCCCCCAGAAACACGATCGAAAACATTTGTATCCATCGATCCACACCGCTCCGATATCCTCCGGCCATTCATCTCCACTCCTCCGGCCAACACTGCCGCCGCGGCATCCGCCGCTTTCCTCCATTGCTCTGTCTGCACCCTAAGCTTCGCCATCTCTGCTTCCATCTCCTCCCTCGCCCTGTCCGCTCGTTCCATCCGTCCCCGCATCTCGGATTCGACGCTTTTACTCTGTTCAAGCTCCTTAAGAATTTTACTCAGCCTCGAATTCAACTCCTCCATTTCTGATTCAGTCGAAGATATCTTCGACGATTTCTCGTTGAGCTGGCTTTTTAATGACTCGTTCTCCCTCCGGATCAGCTCTGTTTCGATTTCCTTTTCCTTTAGATTGGCCTGCAATAATTCGATCTCCTTTTCGAGCTCGTTTACGGCATTGTCGATTGCCTTTGGAGATTCGAATCCATCTTCTTTTCCTTGCAAGTGTTGTATGAATTTTTCAGAAGCTTTAGGCTCTTGGTGTTCGTCGACTGTAACTTTTTCAATGGAGACTTCAAAGACCTCTGTCTCCGGGCGGACATCGGTTTCGGTTTCGACGACGTCCGATGGCGATGGCGATGGTGATTGGGGAACTTTGTTGTGTTTGTTTGGCTTCTTCTTCTTCTCCGCTGCCTTTTTGGCGGTGTCGGTGGAAGCTAATTGGTTTTTGAGGCATTTGAGCTCGTCGTGAGCGTGCCCTAGCTGCGATTCCAAATCGGCGATCCGTGTGCTCAGCTTCTTCTGGCTCTGATTGGTCGCCGTCGCCGTCGTCGCCGCCGCCGCGCCTCGCGGCGATTTTGAGGTCTTAGCTACTTTGCTCCGGTCGGAATCCGAGCTCGATGTCCGGCTCGGCTGCTCTCGAGCAGGTCCCCGCCGGGATCCTTCCAATGCACTGCAAAATTCGGTACGGAAATTAAGTAAGAAGAAGAAGGAGAAGAAGAAATCAACTCAGGAAAATTAAAAATAAAAAATCCCCAAATGTAAACCGCCATACCAGGGTTTTGTCATTTCTTCAATTGACGAACAGGGTAGGAGGTGAATCTGTTATAACTACTTATAAGCAAAATCAGAACGATGAAACAGAAACAACAAACTAATAATAAGTAACAGAGAATTAATTGTTCTTCATTGGCGCGCAGAGCATGAATGAAATCGATTCAAACTGACTGGATCTACAAAAAAGCAGAATCAAAATTTCTTTAAAAAAAACAAATGGTTCTCTCTGGATTTGAAAGATTGATTGATTATCGGTTGGAAGCAAGATCAAAATTCAGTTACCTTACCTGACTGATTTCAATTTCTTCTCTTCCCTCGGCTGCAGCTTTGGTTATTAGGGCATTTGGTGTTCTTCGATGGCCGCATTCAGCAACTCTCTAAGAAATGAGCATTAAATTTTGAGAGCGTTGGAGATGAATGTATGTATGGATGGATTTAATTTATTGAATTGCGTTGGGACACGGGACCGACGGACAATGAAAAAACATAAAATATAATGAAAAAATATATATATACTATAAAATAATAATAATAATAATAATAATAATAATAATAATAACAAGAGTGGAAGGGAAAGCAAGTGCTAATTTGAAGTTAAGGGAGCGTTTTGAAAGTTTGAATTGAAAGGACGTAAAGAGGGAAAGATTTGGGATAATATTTATGACGACTATTGGGATACGTGGAAAACGACAATTAACTAAATTTAATATTATCTCCTTGGAAGGCTCACGTTTGTTTTTTTCAATGTAGATTTTTTAATATTAGTATTATATTATATTATAGTAAAAAAATAAAAATATTTTTATTAGTACGGTGTAATATAAAAGTAACGATATTTGTGTAATATATTGTAAGTTGAATGTGTCAGTACAATTACTAAATTAGGAAATTGTAACATTGTTTTGTGACGGACAAAAATAAAAAATGGTAACCTTTCAATTGGACGGAGGGAAAATTATGGAGTATATATTTATTACTCCCTCTGTCCCAAATACTATGCGATATTTCATTTTTTGTTTGTTCCAAATTCATTGCAATATTTTATAATTTAAAAATAATTAATAATATTTATATACATATATTAATATATACTTCACTGTATCTCATCATATTACTCAAATAAAAATAAATAAATAATCATTTCTATCTCCAATCACATCACTTAATATCCAAATTATCTCAAATCATCCCTGAAATATTTGGATAATTTCAATGTTGTGCTTTTAATAATTGTGATTTAGGGGTGTATTCAATTGGGATTTTAATTGATTTTTTTGGATTTTAAAAAGTCTATAGATTTATGTGGATTTAGGATGGATTTTAGTAATTTATTTAGATGGATTTATATGGATTTCTACGAATTTGATTTGATTCAATTCTTTATGGATTTATATGAATTTTGTAGAATTATAAAATAATTTTTTTTGAATATATATTAATTATATAAATTTATATCAAATAACAAATATATAAATATAATAAATAATTATTAATAAGATAATATATATAAAATAAATAATATATAAGTATTAATAAATAATATATACATATTTATTTTTTTATGTAAAAATGTTATATTAAAATAAATAAATAAATAATTTACGATTTTTGAAAAAAAATATTTAAATAAATAAATAAATATAAATTAACGGTTCAACAAAAAATATTTAAATATCTATTTCATCATTAGTTATCGTAATGATAATATAGTGTATTCGATAATTAAAAAGAAAAGACGACAGTAATACATATTTATTGTGATAATAATATTTTTAAAAATTATATTTATAATATAAAAATATATATTTAAAAAAAATTATAATAATTTGCTAATATATTTTAGTTTTAAATTATTATTTTTATTAAAAATTATAATAATAGTAATAAATATTATCATATTATTGATCACATATACAACAACAACAACAATAATAATAATAATAATAATAATAATAATAATAATAATTTTAAGAATCTATCAAAATTTGTGATGGTCAAGAGAGATTTTTTTTTATACAAAATTTTCAAAAAATTCATTAAAATTCATTAAAAGACTTTTAAAAGTCTATGTTGAATACCTCAAGATTTTAAAAGACTTTTAAAAGTCTTGATTGAATACTTCTAATTTTAAAAGACTTTTAAAAATTTTGATTAAATGCATCTAGACTTTAAAAGTCCAACAAAATTTTATAAGATCTATATTGAATATAGCCCCTTAGTGTCTTAGTATTGATTATCAATTCAATAATTATATTGTATTCTCAGGTATTTTTTTCCCAATAACTAGAATAAAAGAATGTGATGTAAACATCATGAAAAAATTAAATCCAACCATGTCACATTGAGACAAACAATATATGAATATCATTGCATACAATAAATAAGAATAAATCCTACAATTTTATGCTCACATTTATTCTTAATTAACATTGGGTCAATAAGACTTGATTAATTGTCAATAATAATAGGGTCATTAAAGCAAATAATTAACATAACTTGTAGAATTATCATAATTAACATTATAAATTTAAACCTTCGATATTTTCGAATCTTACTTGCCACACATGGTTCAAGTTACTTCAGATAACTTGAAATATTTCATAGCTTCCCAAATTAATATATGATCATTTTACTTAAAAATTTAAATTTGTAAAAAAATACGTCATTGTTTATATATTCTAAAATCTTCTACCCATCATCACGAGCAAAGTGGATTATCTTGGCAAACCTTACATGTATACTTTCTTTTTTTCTTTTTTCTTTTTCAATTCTTTTTTTTTTTTACAAGAAAGTATAATGAAACTTGAACATAAAAACTTTTTACTCTGATACAATGATAAGTAATTATATCATATAAAAGTTTAAATTTAAATAGAGAAAAAAAAAAAATTACAAAGATTCTCATAATAATGGTGAGCAAATAAAAAACCTCCTACTTGGATACCATGTTAATATAAAATTAGTCTTGTCTTACCGTGAATTGTTGGTGTTGTTGGTGTTGGGGACTCCCGTTTGCGGATATATAAATTAATGGCTGTGTTTCTCTAACAGTTCGAGTTTTTAGGTGAGACAGTTATTCTGCATCCGATATGGTAGTTTGAGTTCCGTCATTCCCATTTGCGGCACTGCATGTGATCCAAAGACTCTGTATAATGTTAACTTTGCATTGTCTTCTTGATTTTAATTTGTATTTTTTAATGTAATCCAAAAACTGTATATAATGTTAAATTTATGAATTGTCTTCTTGATTACTTCTCAATCAAATAAATAAATAAAGCTATAAGTGTATTACCATTGCAAAGGTAACAAATTTCATAATATATTGATTAGTAAAATTAAATATTAATTTTAAATTAAAATTTAATTTAACAGTTTAGGCATAATCAATACCACCTAAATGTTTTTTTTCTTCTTTTTTTTTTTTTTTTTTCCTTTCTTTCTTTCTTTCTTTTTTTTTTTTGGAAAAACAAATAATTAGGGGTTAAGGATTTTGAGATCATTTATAGCCATTAAAATTTTACTATTTAGAAAACCATTTATCTTAAAAAAATATTAAATCAAATACTTTATTTTTATTGTTTATATAAATTACCCGTCTCGCTACATATGACTTATTTTTTAGTCCGTATCACATAAGATATGCTTTACTATTATTGATTTTATTGATAAATTTAACATTATAAATATACTTAATAAATATAAATTTATATAATAAAATTCCAAATATATATTAATTTTTATTTTAAAAATACTAACTAACACCACTTATAAACGAAAATAATAAAATAATATTATACAACTATTATAATTAATCTATTAAATTAACTAGTCTAAAAATACAGTATCTCTAATCCTGGGAGTATCTTACCCGAAGAAGTATTTAAAATTAATTTGACATTCAAAATATTAAATCAACTCTGTTATTTATATTATATCAAATAACTATTTAAATTCAAAATTTTAAAATTTTAAAATAAATTATCATGCAAACAATAGTCACAAAATTGGAAATGAACCAATAAGGTGAGGTCGAAGGAGAAAGGTGTGTCCAAAAGAGTAGCTTTTACACACTCACAAGACAAACCATGTGTACATTCAACTACTCCCTCTTACTGGTAAAAATAATTTAACATATAATATAGTGACAATGGTAATAAATAAATGTTTAATATAGTATAATACTCCCTCTATTCCAAAAGAAGTGTCTTATCGAGAATCGGCACGAGAATTAAGGAATAATAATATTTAATTGAAAGTGGATATAAAGTAGAATGTAAATGACTAAAATACCTTTACTTTTTTAAAGATTTTAAATAGTACGTTAGAATAATAATTAGAGGTAGTATGAAAAAGTAAAAATAATTTTGTTATAAAGTGGGGACCACGGTTATTAAATAAGAAAACAAGACAATTGTTTTGGGACGGACGAAAATGGAAAAACAAAGACAAATCTTTTGGGACGGAGGGAGTAGTATTTTATATATAATAATAGTACAATCGTCTGTCTCTGAAAATTAAACCTGCAGTATTGTATTTAACATTAAAAATATTTTTATATTTTTTTTTGTAAAAATATCATTATATTAATATTATATAACAAATATTTTTTTATTATTTTCTCGTATTTGTGTTACATTTTGATATAATAATTAATAATTAAAAATAAACATACAAAAATTAAATATGATCCTTAACGCCGGACATAGTATATTTTTACACAACAAAAATTGTACAATAAAAGATATTTTTTTAAAACAAAATTCTAAAAATAAACAACTATTATTGCTTAATGTACACTTCTATTTTTCTATTGTTATTATTGGTATATTTACGCAACACACTTTTACTTTCCAAAAATAATATTTTGTATATTTTTGCTGATCTATACTCTATAGTACCTCCATCAGAATAAAAATTAAAATAAATATAATCCTGCGGACGAAAAAAATATTATATACATAAATTTATTTGTGAAATTTTAGTTTTAATTTTATCATTTTTAAATTTTTTCTTTAAAAACATCAGTATCACAAACGCTATATAATAAAACACACCAATATATTTTTTAATATGATAAATAATTATATTATAATTATCTCAAAATTGTTGGGAATCTCCTACAATACCTTAACCAGGCCCCCAGACAAAAAGTGACCAAAACAAACAAAGCTACTAAGGGTGCAGCTCAAGTACTCTTGTTTTTGGACGGAGCTCGCGCGGATTTACCTTTCCGGGTGATTTTGCGCGCCCTTTTCATCGGTAACTCACTCTGTCACCCTTTACAACCTCACCTATCCGACGAGCTGCTTCATTTTCCGCAACTATTCTCAGAGCAGCTTCCTCCTTCACCACCATTACCATTCCGATGCCCATATTGAATGTTCGACTCATTTCTGCATCTTCAATTCTCCCCGTCTTCACCATAAAAGATGTATAGTTTAGCTTTTGTGTTTTTTTGCTTGCGGGGATGGTTTTAAATTTAATAAACTACGAGTAAATAGATAGAGAGTGAAATCTACCTCTTGAATCCACTTAAAAATCGGAGGAACCGTCCAAGAGTCCTTGTAGATGAGAGCTCCGAGGCCCTTTGGAAAGACGCGGGGTATGTTGTCAGTGAAGCCACCACCTGTGATGTGGGCGATCCCTTTCACACCGCCTTTGCCAATGATGTCGAGTACCTGAAATATGAACATTCGGATGAATTTACTATATATCGATGAACAATATATGTACTATCTTGGTCTACTAACAATTGATACGTTTAAAGTGGGTTTGGTCTGAGTTTCAAATCCAAATATTCGGTATTCAGTCCACACCGTTCTCAATAAAAATGCATCACAGAACGTTATATTCTATGGGTGTATTTGTTTGGATGATTTCATTTGATTTCTACTATTCACAAATTGTTTTCTTCCGAAAATATCAAATCAAATAACTAATTTTTAGTTTTTATATCAAAGTAAAAATCAACTTTACATAACTAACATATAGCATATAAGTGTGTAAATACATATAGGAGTTTATATAGGAGTTTGTTTTGTTGTGATTTCAAAATCTCTTCTCACAGAAGATCACATCAAAATACTATTTAGACAAAAATTTAAAACTAAGATTCTGTTTCAAATTATTTTCAAACCACAACCAAACAAACGTACTTTTAGGTTGTAAAAATCCCACTTTTAATTTATGTCTTATCGTGATAAATAAAAAAGAAAAATACTGTGATAGTTTGACGTGAAATGATAAAAATGTTTTATTAATACTCTCTCCGTCCCAATACCGTCCCAAAACAATAGTCTTATTTCTATAAATAATCATATCACTGTAAAACTACCCTTATATTTTCATTATTATTACACAATTGGCACTACTTTTTAAACTAATACACTCACAAATGTAAAAAAGTCTTTTACCCGTACTATTTACTCACTACCAATATAATATCAATATTTCTTAAATCTCGTACCAAACACAAATCAGACTATAATTTTAGGACGGAGGGAATACTATTTTAGATCCACATTAACTAAAACTTTAGTGTCCCTAATTTTGCCGATGGAAGGAATATTTTAGATCCACATTAACTAAATAAAGAAATATATCTATTGCTTGCTAAAGCTCTAAATAGTAAAAAACATCTATTGTCAGTGGATGGGTAGAGTATATTGTAATGCCCTATAGCAACCATGGTAAATTAACAAGGGTCTAGTGCAGTATATCACCTGTTTGACATATATCACAGTAGGTGCCATCAGAGCTTGACCGAGCGTAGCAGATGAACCCGGAAGACTATCATTCAAAGAATGGCCACTTTGGCTAAGAACTCTGGGAACAACAGCAAATGTATAATGAATCAATGATCATGGCTTAACAGATGAAAATTCAGTGAATTTAAGAGAAATTTCGACAATAACATTTGAAACCTTCTAACAAGAGAAAATCCATTTGAATGCACACCGCTGGATGGCAGACCGACAAGTACATCACCAACCTCTATGCTTTTCCCATCAATCACTGAATCTTTTTTCACAATGCCGACAGCAAAACCACTCAGATCATACTCACCATTGGCGTAAAAATCAGGCATCTCTGCAGTCTGAAAGAGGCAGTGGAATCCATCAACTTCCAAATTATAGTTTATAAAGATCAATACAAACTTTTCCAACCATATAAAAACACTGAAACAGTAGAATATGCAAACTTTCAAGTTCGAATAACTGAATCGTAAAGATCGATGGTCCATTGCTTCCATTCCACACAAGTAAAATATCTTAGCAATGCTCTGCAGAACTGGAATTCTATGGGTGTGTTTGGTTAGCAGTTGGAGCCAAAGTTGGCACATAAAGTACAACCAACTTGCAACCAAACACACTCTAAATAATGTTTCATTTACTGCAAAGCACGAGGAATTAAGAAGCATCTACAAATACCTCTCCCCCTAGAAGAGCACAATCGGATTGTTGGCAACCATTGACTATGCCTTTGATAACCTGTGTTAGTAGATAAAAAGTTTATTGAACTTTTCTCATCATTAAAAGAGAAGAGTGAAATATTACTTTATAATATAGAAATACATCGGGGACATATGGAACATCACCTTTTCTGCAAGATCAACATCAAGATGGCTAGTGGCAAAGTAATCAAGGAAAAACAAAGGCTTCGCCCCAGATGTGACTATGTCATTAACACTCATGGCAACCTGATTAAAACTTATAATTAGCAGCAGTTCTATTCAAGAAAACCATTCCAAAAGTTTACAAACTTTACCAAATCAATGCCTATGGTGTCGTGGATGCCAGTCTCAAAAGCAAGTTTAAGCTTTGTTCCGACACCATCTGTGCCCGCCACTAGATAAGAATCTCCTGCGAAGCATTAAAAGATTGTCCAATCAGTAATAAAATCCCACTGTTGATGGGAAGACAAATACTAGAAGGTTTCCATGTCACCGGGAAATTATAAAGATGCAACAATTAGCAAGCCCATCTTAGCAATATAGATCAGACAACATTATTATTGAATGCATAATCAAAAGGCGAAAGAGAACATCATACCCAAAGGGAAGAGTCCTCCAAAACCTCCAATTCCAGGGGCCATCTTGGCTATTCTACGAACAACTTCTGAACCAGCATCGATATCAACACCAGCATCCTTGTATGTAAGGCCGGTCCCTTTGTTTTCGGGGGAAGTTTCCACTTGATTTCTGATACCACTGCTCGACATTGAAAGCGAAAGACTTTGTTTCCTAACTTCTCTTCCACCAACCACTGCTTGCTTGCAATTATTGGACAAGAATCCATTGGTTAAATTGCTTCTACAGACCTTGGGAAGGCTTGAAGCAAACATTGACGTGATGCATTGGGACATTTCAGTATTTGCCTTGCAGGACGTATACATGCTGCTTGAGGACAAAATACACCGGAACCATAAAAGAAATTAGTATCAAGGTTTGTAACTGTAATTGAATAAAAATAAAAAAACGAATGCCGAACTAACGCAATCAACCTGAAATGCCAAACGAATCAACAATATAAATATGACACCAGCAGCCACACTAACTCAATTCTTCCCAAAACAATGAATCAAGGCATGTAAGCAATTTATGAACACAAATACACTACTCTGAAGCACAAATTATGCACTTGATGGAAGCAACTAACATACCTTAATTTTCAATCAACTTGTTCCTACAGAATTAAGAATTAGGCCTCATAGCAATCAAACAGACCAACCATGCATCAGTTGAAACTATACCCTAGATCTTAAACAAGCCACATCAACCACAAAGTCGAGCCTTTGTGCGCGAATTAGCTTGAGGCACAATATACTCCAGAAATTAGCAGTCAACATATTGTCATATTCAACCTAAAGAGTATCAAAATAGCTGCACAGGCCTTCTTGAATTCTCAAAATGCAACCAACACATTTTCTGAAACTCAAAAGCTAAAAATAACAACATGCAGTCAGTAACAAATAATCCACCAAAACCAAACCACGTCCAAGTTATACTTTTGCAGAAAAATTAATTCAAAGCTCATAACAGCAATTCCAAACAAAATCTACAGATCAATCTTCAAGCAAGAAAGCAAGCAATCCTCAAATCTCAACCTCTAATTCAATCATAAAGTCTAAGAACTAGACACGCCAGGTAATTAATCAACAGAACTGCACAGGCGACTTAGAATCGATATATATATGTATATATATAAATTCATAAAACCATGAAGAACACAAATTGAAGAAAGAATAGAAATTTACACTTAGCCGAAAACAGAACGATAGTGGAGAAGGGTGCTAGAAGACGGAGGAACAGCGACCGAGAAGATGACGTTCCGAATTCGGAAGGCGATTAGCAGCGAAACTAGAATTATAGTCAGTAGTCGAAGTAAAAGTATGCGCCGAAGGGAAAACAAAAGAAGCAGAAAAGAAGAAAGCGTCCAGTGGCTAACGGGATAGCAGTCGAAAGGGACACGGAAAGAGGAGAGTGAAGAGGGGGAGCGGAAGCTTCCCGTCGGTGGCGACGCGACGGCTGTGCGGCGCAGGGAACGCGATGGAAGGCGAATCTGTTTGGGAGCTGGAGAAGGAGAAGGTATTAATCTGCTTGGGAATGTACACATTAGTACTATTTTATATTCATGTATGCATTTGAGTTTTGTACTTACCGTGGGAAAATACAGACTTGCCCATTCGGTTTCGAACCGTCGGTTCGAACCGCCGGTTCGACAGTTTATGAACCGGAGTTCGAACCGAAACCGGATGCAAATCGAACCAAACCGGATTTCCGACGGTTCGGTTTACTGTTTGAACCGGCGGTTCGGCCATAATTGTTTTTTTTTTTTAAAAAAAAAATCTGGCCGTCCGTCGCGCAAGAGCAGAGCAGGAGAAGAAGAAGAGGTGAAGAAGAAGAATCGGTGAAGAAGAAGAAGAAGAAGAAGAAGAAGAATTGGAGAAAAAAAAAGAAGAAGAAAGAGGAAGAAGAAGAAGAATCGGAGAAGAAAGGAAAGAATCGGTGAAGAAAAGAAGAAAGAGGAAGAACCTGGTGGCTGCCTTGGCTAGTGCGGCTGCGGCTGCTTTGGCGTGGAGGTGTAAAATGATTTATTGGGCATCAGTATCGGAGAAACCCCCCATGTCATCATTTGCAGTTATAAAAAAAAAAAATGATGATGTGGAAAATAAGGGTTGCTGAAAGGGTGTTGGGCAGAGCAATCCTATAAAACTTTTTATTTTCTTTTTTTAAAAAATATTATTTATTTAATTATTTATTTTTTATTTTTTATATTTTTGTATTATATAAAATTTTATTCTCTACCAAATGATATATATTGATATAATTTTATTTAAATTTAATAATATTATTAATTATTTTGATATAAATTAAAAAATATATTTATTTTTTTTAGTGAGGTGGACGAAAGAGATTGTGAAATAAAAAAAAAGTAAAAATGAGATGGAAATTGAAAGAAATTTTTGGAAAGTTTTTTTTTTTTTTTAGCGGATGGTCTTTAGGTCTTAGGGCATCAGGATTTTGGGCAAATTTGTATATTTTATAATTATAATAATATGTTTAACTTAAATTTTTTATATTTATCAATTTTTTTATTAAATAAAAAATTATTAATAATATTAAAAAATACTAATACTAATACTATAATATTATTTTTTATTTATATTTTTTAATTTTAATTATATTATTAATATAATTGATATTTTTATAATTTATTTGTATTTTTTCTAATTTATAATTTAATTTAATTGTTTATTAAATTAATTGTTTAAATTATTTTTACATTCTAGCAATCTAATTGATTATTATTTATATAATGAATATATAATAGTAAATAAATTTAAATAAAATTCAAATTAAAAAAATTAGAAAATAAAAATAAATATATATATATATATATAAATCAAAGGTTGAAACCGTAATCGGCGATTTATAAATCGAAATCGACGGTTTATAAACCGCAATCGAAATCGTTATTCGGAAGGTTCAGTTTCGGTTTGGCATTTTAACAAACCGTAATCGGCGGTTTGAACCGTTTGGGCAAGTCTAGGAAAGTATACCTAAATATGGAAATAGTGCACATCTCATACCGAAAATATTGAATTTTCGGTATACCCTAAAATTTCGGTACGATATGATACCGTATCGTATATTTTCGGTACGGTAACGATATTCAATTTTGATTTTTTCGGTATATACCGAAAAAATTTTGGTATTTCGATATATACCGAAAAACACCGATATACCGAATTATTTTTTATATTTCGGTATTTCAGTATTTTCGGTATTTACCGAAATAATTATTTTTTATATTTAATATATTGTAATATATTTTTAATAATTTTAAATAAAAAAATGCTAATACGGTATTTCTGTATTTTGGTATAATGCCGACATTGTTTAAATTTTGGTATTTTGGTATAATACGGTATATATTTACCGTTTAAATTGTAATATTTCGGTATAATACGATATAAATCGATACTATATAAATTTTGATATTTTGGCATAAATCGGTATATACGATAACATACAGATAGTTCAGCATACCGAATAATCGGTACGGTACAAAATAAAATATAAGTTATACAAAATTTTCGTCATACCAATTTCTCGGTTCGGTAACGGTACGATAGATTACTGTACCGAAAATTTTGGTACGGTATGCGGTATACGATATAAGTTTCGGTATACCGTACCAACCCAGCCCTATTTGTACTTCCTCCGGATAAACTGTCCGCGCTACCATAGATACCTGAATTTACTTAAAATATAGTAATTAATAAGTAAGTAAATAAGAAGTGTATTAGTAAAAATATATATTTTTTTTATAATAAAAACAATAATATATTAAATTAAGATAACTAAATTGTTTAATTAACATTTAAAAAATTATAAATTTTAAAATTGGATGAAAGTATATAATCATATTTCTAGAAACACAATTTATTATGTTGGATTGATAGAAATAGAAAAAAATAGACAATTTATATGGGACGGAGAAAGTGTTATATTAGTAGAGTAATATTTATTGATCAAATGCTGTATGGTGCTGATTTTTTTACCTGAGTGCCCACGTGATATGAGTGATCAATATATGTTTATACATAAAAATAACATATAGTAAGTTATAATATAATATATGTTGTGTTATAAATATACTTGAATATGTATAAATACATGTTAGTCACTACTATCGCATATATATGTTGATTTATGCCCGCACAAGATAATTTTGATACTTTCTTTTTTTTTATTATATATATATATATATGATATGCTTATAATATATGTAAAAATTAAGAATTTGTTTCTTTTTCAAAAATTTTCTAATATATTTTTTCAAAAAAATTAATATAGCACATATATTTATTATTTTTATATTATCTACGCAATTTTCTATATTTTATATAAAAATATTTTCTACAAACCAAAATACAAAAACCGAGTACTTCGTATTAATGTGCTATTATTTTTTTTACAATATAAAATTGATACTTGTAATTGGTACAAACAAAAATGTAAAAATATACTTTAATTTGAGGCGTAAAAAATATATTATTACTAATACACATGAAGTCCTACTATGTCTTATTAATTTGGTCTCTTTACCAAATTAATATACTAAAATTGAAATTTTCAATTTTATATTTCAATATGTTATCACATTCAAATTATCTCCTGATATATCAATAATTTGTTATTAATTTGGAAGTTTTCTTAAACAAGTCAATGTGATCCTTTTATCCGTTCGAATTCATCTAAATTTTTAATTTTATGGCATGATACGAAGGTCTTTTAATTTCGAGATCCGTATATAATTTTGCGTTTGCGTAAGAGTTTGTGTTGAAGAGGCGGCTACGTCAGATGAGTTATTGTTCGCATTAGAATTTTTGTTCAACAGGCGACAACGTCAGATGAACAACTCTATTTGCATTAAAGTTTGTGTTTGTGTTCAACTATGATTCCATTTAGAACTGATTTTGTGTTATTAGCATTGGAGCTTGGTTTTTGTTCAACTTTGGTCCCGTTCAAAGTTGATTTTATGTTTGCGTTAAATATTACGATTTTTTTTTTGTTCAACTTTTTTGGTAAGCTTAAATTGATTTGATTTTTTTGTTTTTCCGTTTGAAGAGGACTGTTAAAATATATTTAAAAACATATATTATATTTATGATATTTACTTTATTTGAAATTTATAAATCATTATAAATATGTATAAATGTATAGAATTGAACTAGTGAATTTCAATTTTATACTCCCCCCGTCTCACATAATTTGTTTCTATTTTCTATTTTTGTCCGTCCCACTTAACTTGTCCTTTTTATTTTTAGAAATATAATTATGCACTTTAATGCGCATTTTAAATTTTAAATTTTATAATTTTCTTAATTTTAATTAAACTATTTACTTATCTTAATTTTAATTTATAATTATTTTTACTAAATAATAATTATTTTTACTAATACATTTCTTAATTACTTAATAATTATAACAGTAATACACCCATATTACATGGACGGAGAGAGTATTTCATTGATGAAAAAACTTTTTCAATTCAATAGATTTTCACATATCCAATTGTGGTGTACTTTTCCTCTTCATTATTCTCTTCAATATTAATTATATTTTCTCTAAAAAAGTTCTCATTTTGATGGATTTTTTCTTGTCTAAGGCGATCTCCAACCCTCCCTGCATTTTTGCACACTACAAAAAAATAATATATTTGTAACAGAATTTCGTCCCTAAAGTTCACGTAGTTAACGTAATTCCATTACTAATTCTGTATCTAATGTCATTAGTAACGGAAAAAATAGATTTAGAGACAGAAAAATTTTGTTACAAAAATGATTTTTTCTTGTAGTGGCAGTTGCTACCGTAAAAATACAATTGATCTACATAAATTTCAATTTTTACTTTATATTCCTTATATATTCCTAATTTATATTATTTTATATAACTTTTCATATTTATAAATTACACCCCAATTTTTGGTACAACCCAATGCAAAGTATTTCCATTATGAAGATGATCTTATGAAGTATTTCCTTCTCCTCTCCTCTCCATTATCTTTTTAGTTATGTTTTGCTATCAACAAAGTCCTTCGATCCATTTTTAATCTTCCTTTGCAATCATCACAGCCAACATGGCTACTTCTACTCTATATTACCACTATTGTCACTATATCGATCATCCACGACCACCTATAGATCTACTGCTTGGGTGCTTCAAATGAACTCATTCACTTCATCCATTATTACTACCGCTTTGCCTCTGAAACCCTTAATCTATTAGTTGTCATCGATTTCATCGCCTCGAGCCAAAAGAAGCAGCGTCGCTGAAAATTTTCCCAAATTTGAAAATCTAAAAGCACCAGAGGCCTATCTCTCTCGGCGACAACGGCTAGGGCTTTCCAAAAATGCCAAGGCCCACCGACAATGATTGAAAGATATTTTATTTGTTCTCTTCCATTGTTCTTGCTCTTCCATTGCAATCGTCACTTTTTTTTTTTTTTTTTCCAATTTGTCTCGTCTTCTCTCTAGCTCCATTCGTCCCGTAGTAACTTCTGGGTTATTTTTCATTGATTTGTTTGATTTTTAATTTTTTTTTTTTTTTTTTTTTTTTTTTTTTTTTTTTTTTATGTGCAGTGGCTATTGAAGTTAAGTGTGATTGTTGAAGTGGATATGATTAGAAATTTTTAGTTATTTTTTTCGGTTTATGAAATTTTTGTATTATTTTTTTATGACGTAAGAATCCAGCCGCTATTCTTCAAGTTTCTTTAAATAAGTTTTTA